GTGCAGAAAAGAGAGTGCAGAAAAGAGAGTGCAGAAAAGAGAGTGCAGAAAAGAGAGTGCAGAAAAGAGAGTGCAGAAAAGAGAGTGCAGAAAAGCCTCCTTGCAGCTCTGCACTCACAAGGCAGCAGCCTCTGCCTTGGGGCTCGGGCTGGTAGTTTGGGTCCTGGCCCCAGCTTGGCTTAAACATCGTCGTTGCGTTTCCCTTGCAGGGGAGAATCATCGAGTGCACTCACTGCGGCTGCAGAGGCTGCTCCGGGTGAGGTGCTCAGACACTGGACTCCTTTTTCAGCTCTGAGAGGTCTCGTCCCACACTATGGACTACTTGTGCAGTTAGAACGACCTTCTGTGTGATTGGATCTTTCATATTCACCTGGATCATACACATCTATATGCAATGGCTGGTGTTTGGGAGTAGCTTTCTGTGTAGCCCTTTGATTTTAAAATAAACTTTGCCTTCCTGAGAGTGTGGTGCTGGTAAAAATATTTYTATGGCCCCTGTTTTTTATGCTGCATTATGATCACTTTCTTTTTTTGGTTGGTGGCTCTATTATTTATAAATTAGATGTATGTAAAGGGAGAGAGCTTTTTCTTGCAACATAACTGAAGCTAAGGAAGGAGAGGGATAGGAGATAGATGAATTCTGAAAACACCAGTCTGACCCAAGCTCCCTACCCCTGCTGGGTAGCAGAAGAAAGCAAAACATCCCTGGAAAGGTTTTCAACCTGGAATTAGCATGGATCAGTGCTGCATCCATGTAAGAAAGCTGCCCCTTGCTATACACTTCTCACTTCTTCAGTGTCCAGGTCTGTAAAGCGGGAGGAGGAAAGGAATTGGGCAGGGAGGCCCTRCTAAGCCTCAGCTTGCTTGTTCAGCACTGAGTTTGTTAAAACTACAGCTCCACTAGCTACAGCTCACAGCTACAACTACCGTCTTGTGCAGTTTAAGGAAATTCACTGAAAATGTACRTGCTTCTCCTTACCACAAAGGAGAAATACTTTATTTACTAGTTAGGACAAGAACTCCGATTCATAGAMGTATACAAAGGTGCTTTACTACAAGGCTGTGTAAGCACAAAGTCCAAGTTCTTACAGCATGTGGAAGCTGCAAGATGTGAGCTATCCCGCAGACCATCCTGCTCACTGCAGCTTCTGTCCTTGCTGCTCCTGCCCCTGCACCTCCTCTTCCTTATTTTCATTTCCAGACCGTTTCGCTGTTCTGTATTTTTCCCAGGGATGGGGAGTCTCCTCTCCTGCCATCACTTTTAGCCACCGGTAGTAGTAGCCACGGAAGCCATCAATTTTTTCCACATATCTGCTCTTTGACTTGTACTGCAAATGGAAACACAAGCATCAACTACAACATCTAATTTTGACAAGAGCAATGCTTCCGTATTGTGACCAGCCGTGGCCACCTACCCTGTCAAAATCCGGAGGGTACTGGGCAGCGAATTCCAGCTGGCTTATGATGACTTCATTGGGGGGCACGTGGTTGTTCCGCATGTCCCGCAGGATCTCGATGAGGTAACYGTAGTCCAGCTGCTTCACGGCAGCAGAGATGAGGGTGCTGTAGATGTACTTGTTGGGAGTCACTCCAGACCTCTGAAAAACCCCCCAAATGCCCCAGTTCAGCTGGTCGGCAGCTAGTGCAGGGCTATAGGGTGAAGAAGGCACAGGTGCCTCTTACACAAGGAGCGCAGCTCCTGCTCTTGGGATTCATGTACTGCTTTCTATGGTGCCTGTGTTCCCAGTTCCACGGCCCCTCTCCTGTCCCTGCTCAGGCACGGGACAACTAGCCAAGCTTTCCATCAGTTGCATGCTCCTGCTATTAGGAACATAAATCACCTACCACAGAAAACTCATGGGGTCTTTTTTACAGCTGCAGCCTTGCATTTCTGCAGTTTGAGCTGGATTATTTTACCTTCAAGTCCGAGAGCAACTGCAGCCCATCCTTCTCTCGGCGGCACGCGAGCGCCAAGTTGCAGAACGTCTGCAGGTTCGGTGCTATTCCCCTCTTGGCCAGGGCTGGCAGCAGGCCCTGCAACAGGCAAGCGCTGACATCAGTTTCCAAAAAACCTCACTGGAATTTTCCAGGCAGAGCTGGAAGCGCTAGAACAGAATCCATAAATACTCAGGAAGTAACCCAAGGACCGGCTTGGGGAAAACGGTATTTTAGCAATTTTTATTGTGGATAGAGAAATGGGTCTCATAGTAAAATGCAGGTAATGCTAGAGGCCTAAGACAAGGAGATGGCAATAGGGCCACTCTGAGATTTTTTCCTCACCTTTGCTCCTTCAAGGTCTCCCTGCTTGCTTTTCTTCCTTATTAAAGTGTTAAAGAAGGTCACATCTACTTTCACTTTATGCTCATCGAGGGTTGCCAACAGAGAGGATTCCGATGGGCTCTGGGCTTCCACCAGCTCAGCCAGTAATGTAAAAGTTTTAATGTTGGGTTCTGCACTGTCCTCCTTCATTTTATTCAAGAAGCCCTCCACACCACCCATCAAAGCCAGTCTATCAGATGGTGTGGCCACTGTCCCCAGGGACACCACAGCTGCCTCGGGCATCTTGGTATCCAGTAGGTTGGGCAGCTTGCAGAAAGGCAGGCTGGGCCTTAGGCTCGCTTGCTCCGGCTCTGTCTCGCTCGGGTCGATCCTCATTGATGCTCCAGGCCTACTGTGAGCTACGTTGTCACTGGCAAGACCAGCTGGTACTGGTTCTGTTTCAGTCCGATTCACATCCTCGTTTTGCTGCTTCATCCGTTGTTCAGGCTGCACAGAGATCTCTGGAAAGAGCTGCTTCTCCATGGCTTCCACGTCCAGCTGCACAACAGCTGCACTCCCCACTCCCTTCTTCCAACTTCTGGCCTTTCCTTTCCGCTCACCGGCGCCAAGCCTCAGCTGTGGTGGCTTCTCTTCAGTGGATCCTAGCAGAACCTGAGAAGCCAAAACCGGATCGCCTATTCCACAGTCCCGAGCAGCACGGAGCATCAGGTTGTAAGTGGCAGTATCACCCTTTATTCCGAGTCTAGTCATCTGGTTCCAAACCTGAAGAGAAGGAGGAGAACATAAGATAGATGGGATACTAAATAGCATGAGCATTTCTAGCTGGGTGTAAGAGTATCTCAGTGTATCCACAGTGCCTGCCGTTAACCACAACCACCTGTGGAAAGGGAATACAATGACAGCACAAAGAGATGTCATTAATTTTTGAACTATCCAGACTAGTACAGTTGTATCAGATGACCCAGGAGAGTTTATAAGTGCTGGATTATGAGATATCCTGATGGARGTTTGTTTTATAGAACTAGCATTCAGAAGAGCCGAGCTCCTCATGTTGGCATCAGCTCTGAGCGTCCTGCTGCCTCTCTGYTCAGGTGACAAGTGGCAACGCAGCAGCAGTGCCCCGTTTTCCCTCCCCCCGGGGCACCCACGCACAGACCTGCAAGGCGTAGCGGAAGCCGTTCTCACTGTCCTTTATGCAGCCCATGAGAAGGAAGCTGAAGGTCTCCGTTTGGACAGCGTGGCCTTTGTGCACAATTTCCTGAAAGAGGAGAGGGAGCTTTAAACATCCCTTCTACCCATGCAGTCTGTCACAGCAACAAAGCACAGGGTGGACTCAGTACTGTGAGCAGAAGGAGGGCTGCAGGAGAAACGTSTTCTTAATACCTACATAGATCCTAGCTTCTCCCTTATGGGAGCAACAGAAAATTTGGGGGCAGGAGTAACAGTTCTTCTGGCTGCTCTCGCACTGGCTTTTCTGAGATAAGCTGCCTTAAGAGCCATAGAAGTAGCTAGCTGTCAATATAAGTGTGCTCCAAACCCAAAATCAACAACAACAAAAAAATGTCTCTTGGGTCTAAAATGATCTGCGCTTAAGATGAAATAAAGAAATCTATGCCATCAGTCAACTTCCAAGAGCTGTAAGTAGAGCAGACCACGCTTAATCCAACAAAAATCACGTATTTACCTTCAGTACATCAAAGCACATCCTGAGATCTGAACACAGGGCACACACTTTCAGCAAAGCGTGGTAAGTTATCAGGTTCAGCTCTTGATTTTTGCTCTTTAGTTGCTGCCGTAACTTGAGSGCACTTTGCAGGCCCGAGTCTTTCCATGGTGATTCGGCACAGGCATTGAACAGGGCAGTGTAAGTGGCATCAGTGGGGATTAAGCCTCGCTTTTTCATCTAAAGACAGAGAAAAAAGAAACGTAATTGGCTTTTTAGAAAAGAGCTCCGGAATTTCATAGAACAGACTCATGACCAAATGCTAAAAGCCACTTTTAGCTAAAAACCTATCAAGGGTTTTATTGACAGACTGCAAACCTACATCATTGTAGAGCTTGAATGCCTTTTTCACGTAGCCAACCCTGCCACAGCCGCCCATAAGAACCGTGTAGTTGCTTTCTTGTGGCTGGACACGCTCTTCCTTCAGCATCTGCACCTCAAACAGCTCCAGAGCCTCTGCCAGCTGCAGGAAAAGGAGAAATCCATGATGAAGCAGCAACAAGATCAGTTATAGCAGGTGTTAAAATCCTCAGCTGTGGACAGTGAGAGAACTCTGAAAGGGCATGGGGCTCTGTGCATGAATTTGCTTCTCTTCTGCAAAGAAACCAAGGACGACACAGGCAGGATTGCACTGCAGGGGAGCRGAGCAAGAAGTGAGGGCACAAAACATCAACTCAGGACCAGCCTACGGGCTGCAGAGGGAGATGGGCAGTGGCTGAAATTGCAGGGAAACTAATTGCACAGCCTCCGAATGGATCTGTCAGCTTGGTTCTCATTCCTATAAGGGAAATAAGCCTCGTGCCATGGTCCATCGCATCCCCAGCCCACGCTGCCACCAAAAGCTTCCAGGAGAGCCGGCACGGACCCTGTCCTGCTTGATGAGCGCCTTGCACCTCAGGAAGAACCAGTACGGGCTGTTCCGGCGCCTCCGCATCCACSGCTCCTCCGGCCCCTCTTCCTGCAGCCGCAGCTCCCGGAAGTAGGGAGAGCTTTTGTGGTAGAACTGCCTGCCGGAGAAGCGGCTCGAGAGCGTGCCCAGAGACACCTCCTCATCGTCATCCTCCGCTTTGGCCCCATCGCGGCCGCCAGGCCCGGGCCGCGCCGCGTCCTCGTCAGCGGGCCCGGGCCGCGCCGTTTCCCCGCCGCCGAGCGCCCGGGCCGCCGCGGGGGCTCCGAGGGCCCCGGGGGCGGCCGGGGGGCGCCGGGCGAGGAGCAGCCCGCGGCCCACGAGCCGCAGCAGCCGCATGGCGGCCGCCTCTGCGTGGGGGCGGAAGTGTCGCTAGGCAACGGGCGCACCGCGCCTGCGCGGGCGGAAGCCGCGCGGCCGCCTGCCGGGAAGCAGCCRCTGAGGTGACTTCCGGCCGCCGCCGCCGCCGCCGCTCGCTCCGGCTCCCGCTCTCTCCTAACGCCGCCGCCGCCACCGCCACCACGGGCCGCGCCGGGACGCAGCCGCCCCCCTCCGCCCCCTCCCGCCGCCGCCGGCCCCCGGCCGCCGCCACCATGCAGGAGCTCATCGCCAGCGTGGACCACATCATGTTCGACCTGGAGCTGGCCGTGGAGCAGCAGCTGGGCGCGCAGCCGCTGCCCTTCCCCGGCATGGACAGTGCGTGCGGCAGCCGACGGGTCCCCCCTGCCCTCCCCCTGCTCGTTTCCCCCCGCACGGCTACAGCCCCGGTGCCCCCCGCCCTTCCCGCCGCCTTTGGCCTCCAACCGAGTCTGTCCCCCCATGTCTCAGCCCACGGGGTCCCTCCCCTTGGTGCAGCCCATAGTTAGGGCTGCCCCCGGCCAGAAAGCGAAGGTGGAGACGTTATCCCCAATAAAGGTGGCTTCGCTCCACAACTTTTCCGTTTTAAGGACCAGGGAGGGCTCATCTTGAAACGTGTCTGTGGGCTGGGCCCTGGTCTGCTTTGGGGTGATCTGGCACAAGCAGTACAGAGGGGCCCAGAGCTTACCGCAGTTTGGTGCTTAGGTTACCCGTAGGATTAGCAAGGGGTGGCCTCTTAGAGGTTTCCTTGGCCTTTTCTAGTCAAAGGAATGCAAGGCCTCGGTTCCCCTGGGTGTAAATGCAAGTTTCAGCAACATGGTTAATTTAATAACAGGAGAAAGCGCCGTCAACAAAACCTAAATCTCTGCAAGGCCAAGCAGGCACAACCAAGCTTCTGTAAATCACCCTGTGTGCTTTGTGCCAGAAGGATTACGGATACTTGTGAGGGCCAGACTTGAACAGGGAACTTGCCCGGGGAAGTAAATTCCCCAAGCCAATGTCCTGGTCTTTTGATGTTGACAGCCAGGTTGTCTTTGTGGGAAAGGAAATAATTTAAAGATCACCCCAAGTTCTTTAAAATGTAATTATTGTTTCTTTGGCTGGTCTCTCCACAGAATCGGGTGCTGCTGTCTGTGAATTTTTTTTAAAAGCGGCCTGTGGAAAAGGCAAGTAATATTCCCAATGCATTTATACTCTTATGGGTGGGGGCAAAAGGGAAAACAGCTTTCTTGGCAGATAAAAGTATAGATTACTCATGCTGTACTATAAAGATGGGACGTTGTGAAGATTGATTTTGTTGCAACAATTGTGAAACAAGGTGGGTTCTTGGAGGTGTGGGGTGAATCAGCAAGGCTGTCTGCAAAGGCAGGTCTGAACTCTTTGCGAGCAGACCTTGCTCCGCATTAGTAGCTGTGATTTATGGCTGCCAGGATTCAGAGCTGTACACTACGTTGCTCTACTCATTAGAGAGCAGGAGATTCTGTTGTCCGGAACTCTGCTCTACCATGGTCACTAAAGAATAAATCCTTAAAAAAGAGCGAAGTCTTCTGACAACTCCTTTTGCAGAGAGGGATCGAGTGCTGCCACTGCCCTGAGCATAGCCCCTTGTGCTGCAGGTTTAAAATGTTCTTTTTGTCCTTTCCCCATCGTTCTGCAGGAGGCATGTGCCCCTTCCGACACATCAGTGGGGAAAAGACAGTTGTTTGCAAACACTGGCTACGTGGACTGTGCAAAAAGGGAGATCAGTGCGAGTTTCTGCACGAGTACGACATGACCAAGATGCCTGAGTGTTACTTCTACTCTAAATTTGGTAAGGGGCATTACAGTTCCTCCTTGGCATTCCTTGCTGGYGTGGGAAGCTGATGGTGCAGAGGATCCTGGTGCACCATTCTCACCCCGTCTCCTCCATCTTCAGAACATTCCAGATCTTCTGTGTTTGCTGATACTGTTAGATTTTGGTTTGCTGGATCTGCTTAGCCCTTCACTTTATTTTATCCCCCTAAATTTTTCATGTATTATGGATATCCTCTCTCTCAAGAGCTTWTCCCTTGGGGGAAGAGGGAGAAAGTTAGGTCTTCACTGCATTTTGTGCCTAATGTTCTGTTTTGGGGCTGAGAAGAGTAGGCTGAGCAGGTGGTCTTTGCATGACTTTTATTTTGGGGAGCTGATGAGCAGCAGAGGGTATAGGGGTGCAAAACTTTTATGCACTTGCTTTCCAGCTCTGGAGATCTGGACATAATGAGGCAACTTGCTGTCAGAAACTTACAGTCTTGTAGGTTTCCTTGGATTGAGGTTAGTGTGCAATTTGTAGTTTCTCCACACTTTTGGTGCACTAAATGTTGGTTTTGTTATCATGACTGCTCTTTCAAATTCAATTTCTGCATTGTTTTAAAAGCACACATAAAAAAATCCAGTCTGGTAGAGTTTTACTCACCTGGGGTGAGTGTTTGGTGTTCATCATCTAGGTCAAGGCAGGCAATAAGGYTTCCGTGCCTGAACTTACAAATGTTGGTAGTAGTTTTGTGGGAGCTCCATGATCCAGGTGATGCTTTGGGAGTGACTTGCTCTCGTTCCTGCRCCACTTGCTAAAAAGTGTGTTTGCCTTTGGTACAGGGGAATGCAGTAACAAAGAGTGTCCATTCTTGCACATTGACCCGGAGTCTAAGATCAAAGACTGTCCCTGGTATGACAGAGGCTTCTGTAAACATGGTATGTATGTCACACAGCTGCTGCTTCTGTGGCTATTAAGCAAGGGTACAGTGCTGCTGTTCTTCCTTTGCATGATCTGCCTGCGTACCTGCTATAGGGAATGCTGGGGCACATGTATATGAAATGCAAACYGTCGAGCTTTGTGTTGCAGGTCCCTTGTGCAGGCATCGACACACTCGAAGAGTCATTTGTGTGAATTACCTCGTAGGATTCTGTCCAGAGGGGCCTACCTGTAAATTCATGCAGTGAGTATGTTTCCAGGCTTCTCCTGTAATCCCGTGTTTCCTCTATGGCAAATCAGGATGGTCTGTAGCTACCCGGTGCTCTTGGGAAGCTGGCTGTTGTTTACTTTTTTGCATGATGTATTTCCAGTTTGAGGACATGGGCAGAGGCTCCTCAGAGTTCCCAAACAGACTCTGGGGTGCTGATCAGATACCATCTGTGCAGAGGGGTTATGTGGGTTTAGAATCCAGAAGACTTCACAGCTAGAGGGAGATGCAACCTACTGAACTACGAGTTTAGTTTATGTAATGCTGAGCAGCAGAATGCAAAGAGAAGTGGGAAGGGAGGTCTGTTTCTTTTGAGTGAGATTTAATTAGCTGAATGTTTGCTTTGTTATTCAGAGTTACTTGACTGAGCTGATGGTAAAATGTTGGCATATGGTTCAAGAATCAATTTTCTTGTCTGTCTGTCTAAACCAGCCCTCGCTTTGAACTGCCTATGGGAACCACAGAGCAACCACCACTGCCTCAGCCGACACAAACACAGCAAAAGGTACCTGATTCCCTTCCCTCCCCTACAGACTCACCCACAGAGCACGGCCCACAATGCCCTAAAAGGTGAATTGTCTAATGCTCAAAGCAGGGCATCTGGGCTCTTTGATCTGACTTGCTCAGAAGTCTTGAGGAAACACCCATTAAACTAAATTAAATTCTCCCCTTACAGCACCTTGGTTACCTTATTCCTCAATCATTCCTACCTTCCTCCAGCTCAGAGGCCGGGGGGGCAGTTTGTTCCTTGGGCTGTCTGGAAGCGAGGCACTGTACAAGAATTAAGCACAAGCACCCGAGTGACAATGTAGTGAGGAGCAGAAGTCCTACGGTTACTCCAGCTTACATAAAGATCCAGTCACAGAACACTCCCACGTACACAGAAGCACATTGTATGTGGTTGTGCAGCTCTCTGCCAGTTTTTGTAAACTGCGTGACATCTCTGTGATGGCAATGATATTTTAGCAGCCTAAACCAACTCTCTAAATCTGCTTTTGAGCGAAAAGCGGGACTGCTGGGCTTTGTATGCCTCAGTGTTTGATTTCTTCTCTCTGGTGCTCCAGCTGGCAGTTCACCCACGCTTAAATTTGGAGGAAAAATTATCATTCAATATGTGGGGTGTTCTTTTTCCCTTCTTAACAAAATAACCACCGCAAAAGCCTTCATCCATGATGCAGTTAACAAGTCAAAACTTTTCTCCTAACCAACAGAGGACACCGCAAGTCATTGGAGTCATGCAGTCCCAGAACAACAACTCTGGGAACAGAGGCCCCCGGCCGCTGGAGCAGGTCACTTGCTACAAGGTAATTCATGGCAAGGGGAAGCAGAGGGGCCTTCGTTTAGGAAGGACGGAGTGTTCATCACCTGGACTATCCTGTGCTGCAGTTCTGCTGTCACGAGTAGAGGAACGGGTGTTACGATATGTGACGTCTATTCTGCAAAGGGTTGTTTTGCAGTGAAAACATTCACAAAGTTTGTGCTGTGATGCTGTGCTTGGGCAAGTGCTGCAGCTCTCAGAATTAGTACTGAGGTCTGATGCCTCTAGTTTGCTCGTTTGCCAGCTCTGGGCTTCCTGTGGCCCTCTTAGAGCTGCTCTGTAACAGTCTGTGCTCGTCTGCTCGTAACAGGAAGCCCTGCCACAGCATCACTTAAAGGAGTTGGTCAAACTGCGTTTCACAGTAAGGGCTGAAATCAGTTTTGTGCTCACGAGCTCGTTTAATTACACTTCATGATTGTGGAAAGATTTTCTTCTCTCTTAGTGGAGCAATGGAATTCAAATTTACACAGGCTGCCAGTTCTTCAACTCTAACACCCCTTGTCAAACCAAGGAGCAAGCTGCTCGCTTTGGTTGCTCAGTGAGGAGCTTAGGTAGAATTTTGACACAGTTGAGTTTCCATCTCTTGTTTATTTAAAACAACAAAAACAAAGCAATCCTAGCCATGACAGGACAGAATCTTCCTTTTCCATCAGCTTTGACAGTTGCATCACACTATGTGCTAGCTTCGTATCCAAGGTACTTGTTTGGGTTTTACTGGTTAATTTGTGGTTTAAAAGTTGTTTTGATTGGATTGGGATATTAAGCAGCTGATTGGTGAAAAATCTTTTAATAGCTGCTTATTCAGTTCCAAAATGAAGTATTACTAAATGTCAAGAATGTAAACTCACTCCAGTGGAATCATTTGGTGATAGTGGCCTCCTCGGGGGCAGAAACGCCTATAACTGGAGATAGGCAAATTTTACAGCAAATAAGGCAACACAGGAGTATTTGGATCTCTTTTTTTTTTTTTCCCCTCAACTGGAGCTTTCAGAGATCACATCTTTGCCCAAGGCTTTTTCTTGCTCTGTTTTCTGTCCACTAAATGAGCACTGCTGCTAGGATTTAAGGAATCAAGTAAATTGCATATCTGGAGAAAGCACTAACACCAGATGTCAAAATTTCTTGCTGTGTTTGAATCGCCTTACGGCGCAAAGTCATGACTCTCTTGTCCAGATGCACTTTTCTATGTCTAATCCAGGCTACTTGTATACRTCTCTATTGCAGTGTGTTTCAGATGAGGCAGTCTTGGAAGCCTTGAACATAGGAATTCTCCTTGGGTTGTCACGTTGTGCGTTGCAGCCCTTTTCCATTTGTAGTAATGAACTGAGAGCTCTGTCCTTGGTAGTTCGTTACCGTAACACTGATCACGCTGGTGCCAGCACGGAAGCTGCTCTTGTTCCAACCAGTGGAAATAGCCTAAGTCATGTTCCTTGTCACAGCATGTTTCACTTCACCTGCTGAGCTCTGTGTCTTCCAGAAATGGAAAAGCTGCCTAATTAGAATGGTTGCTGGTTACATTATTAAAGGCAGCTACAGGGGAAAAAAAAAAAAAGCTATCTACTGTGTAATAACCTCCCTTTCTCTCTTTCTTCTAGTGTGGTGAAAAAGGTCATTATGCCAACAGATGCACCAAAGGACACCTGGCCTTTCTCAGTGGACAGTGAAAGAGCAGAGAGGAGAGTGCAAGGGAGCTATTAACACTGAGAAAAGGTTTCTGCCTAGCACTATTTTTTGAACTATTGATCAGGTTGTTTTTCTTTTTAATGCCATTATTGAAAGAATTGGTCAGAGGCTGGCTGCTGCTAAGCAACATTTTTGTAATTGTTCACAACTCTTTTTATGTTTTAACCTTTTTAAAATAGGTTTTGGCCTCTGACTACTTTCATTGAGCCCTGCTGGAAGGTAGATGGAAAAGCGAATAGATACGCAAACCCCTCTCTGCTGCAGCATTCTATATAAACACACCCTTACTCCAGTGTTTCCTTAAAGTGTTTTCTTTCTGCTACTGCTCTTTGGGGAACCTGCAGCCTCCCAGCACTGCCTGGGGAAACAGAAAGACGGAGTGGGAGAACTTATTCTTGAAATGCCCTCCCTTCAGTGAGGGAGCAGCAATAGGGCTGTCCCATAATTCTTAAAAAGCAAAYTCGTGTTCCTAGAGCGCGGTGGTGTGAGTGAGCTTGTCCTGGGAGCTAATGCCTCGCACCAGGACGTCAGCCCCTCATCCACTGGCTTTGTTTTTGTGCTTCTTACTATACTGAAGGTTAAAAATTAATCTTTTTGCGCGAGAACCCATCAGCATGGAGTGGGGAGAATAAAATTTGCACCTCTAGGGTTAGGTAAAGTACGAGGAGCAATGACTATAGGAAAGCCTTATTTTTGCCCATTTTTCCTTTGGAAAAAGCAAGTAGGGAAATGAACGAGGCTTTAAGTTTTAGAATAAAATATACATCTCTGTCTCCCCTCAGCCATTCAGCTCRCACTGACCAGGTATTCCCCTAGCCCAGAGAACACCAAAAAGTGGAGCTGTGTATTCCTATGGAATGCTGCTTTTAAAAAAGTGCTAGAACATCCTTCTATACTCCTGCCAGCCCAAACCCAGTACTTTTTGAGAAGACTACTTCAAAAGGGCCAATGATAAAATGTGAATTAAAAAAAAAGCACCTACAATGTGAGCCTTATTGATTCTAACCCATCTTGCATTTGCTGACTGCCTTTATACTTTGTTTTTATTGAAATGTATTATTGCAAAAAGTTGGCTGTGGCATTTGTTTGTTGTACAAAAMCAAATTATAGCCAGATATAACACATGGCTAGAATAACAGTCTGTGTTGGGTTGAAACAGTGTACTTATTTCACTGTGGATATTCAGAATAATTTAAAATACAATTTTCAAGTCTGACTGTGATTAAGACCCTCAAAACACTTCCCATAATAAATGTTTGTGCCCCTATAGGATAAACAGTGGCCAAACAGCGACACGACTATTAAAGATAGTGCCTGGATATGACTAGGGAGCTGGAAAGGGAACTAGAACACACTGTAGTATCTGGCCAACTTCCCCTGAAGACACTACAGCTTGTGCCTGCAGGCACAGGTACCACTGCAAGCATCAGCAGCAGTGCTGGGCCATGGGGGTGCAGGCGGTTAGCGGAGTGCACCGGGCMTGCAGAAAGGCCAAATCCCTAGACGCTCTTTTTTAAGTTGCATCTGTGCATATAACATTATTATCACCGCCTCCTCAGTGAGCACATTTATTTTATGCACTCTTGTTGTCTTTTATGCTTACACTTACATCCTTACAGTTTTCCAGCTTCTCGCAGTAGCAGAAGCAGCTGTAGTTTTGACAGAGAGGGGCTTCTAAGGCTAAGAAACATTTGACTGCCCCTGGCAGGACAGTTGCCTCCCTGCTTGAAGCCAAACTGGGATCCCACTTCAGGCAGAGCTTTGTGACGGAAAATTGCCCAAACAGGGGCAGCCTGACTTCAAGCATTGCTTCAAGCACAGCTATTCATTCAAATCCAGATGTTTTATCCTCTCAGACAGCTGCCTGACCTCTAGTGGCTAGGGCATTAAAAGTAAAGATAGCATTGGACTGCTTCTTATCGAGCATTAAATATAAAATGATTTTAGTAATTGCTGCAGTTTATAACACTACATAGTGTTTCCAACCATCTCTGAAGTTATTCTTGAGGGAGGAAATTCAGGAAAGACAAACTCACACAGTACCAGAGTTTCAGCTCAGAAAGTATGAAGTGCAAACACTTTATTATTGGTCATAACAGCAGTCCAGGTTTCAAGATGAGTAATTCTGATGTCTGACAGCTGCTCCAGCAGCCCAGTCTGTTCAAGGACTGCCCCTTCTCTTTCTGAAATCCGTGCTTCAGTGGTACTTCCTGTGACGGTCATGCTCTGCATCATTCAAAGTAAAGCAAGTTAATTTTGCTGAAGTCACAGAAAGAAAGAAATACTSAAGTTGCTGGAAAGACAGCACTCTGCAAGAAATCACAGCATACACTCCCCAAGTCCTGCCAGGGTAGAAAGGCAAGAAAGATTTATGCTTCTTTTCAATCAACAAGAAGCTATTGGCCATCTGTTAATTTACTAAAAGCATTTAAGTTCTCTATAGCTATAATAAAAAGAGAAAGCCTGCCCGCAGGGTACAACCCCAGATTCAAGTGACAACGACTAGCAGGGTCCTTCACTTTGTTCCTAAGAGCAGCAGCAGAYTCACTGGTTTTATTGCCCCGAGCGATCTTGCAAGCACTCACACCATACACAGTCAGCTCTACTGCTTTTACTTACTTATGTGGTCATAGCTCCAGATGTAGCTGATGACAACGTAACCAGCAAGCACCATYGCGATACCACCAACACCCCCTTTCTTCACATCGATGTATTTATTGAAATACCTGTCGTAACCTGCGCAGGAGAAATATTATTTCATAGCAGCTCGGTGATTTGCAGCTTTTTCCCTGTCAGAAGCAGCCTGAGCACACAGCTGCCTCTGAGGCCTTCAGATATTTCATTAGTTCATGAAACAAGTGTGAGAGAAGGCAACCCGTGAGTTAGTTAAGACACGTTTACAGCTGATACTAACTTCAGACTTTAAGAACAAATAAACATTATTTTTCTCTTGAATCTAAGTATAACTTCTACCAGTTCAAGCTGCTCTGACATTATCTAGTTCGGTAATACTAGAATATATCCACAATATTTGCCTCTTCATTTGATATTTTGCACTTAAGTCTACCAAATGCTTCATCTGCATCTACAGCAAAGGACGCCAGTCAAAACTTATGCTTAGTGACGTCTCTAAGTCCCGTGTCCTTTTCCATCACCTTCAGGCATCAACCACATTTTAACCTGCAATCTTGGGAAAGGTTTTCAGCAGATAAGCTCAGCAGGAGAGCCCAAAATAAGCAAGTCACCCTAATGCTACTTATTCCATCCTTGGATCCTGTTTGAACAAGAAGGGAAGACAGAAACAGCTCCCCRTGGGGAAAGCGCCCGTGATGACGAGATTTACAGAAAGTCGAAYGTTTTACCCTTGGGGAGATGAAATCCCCGCGCGCCCCTCACCTCTGCGCACGGCCCTGACGATGCCGCCGGGGGTGAAGTCCCTCATGGCCAGCCAGGAGGGCAGCTGGCCCAGCTTCACGTCCATCAGCTTGGCGTCCTTGAGGGGAGCTGCGACAAAAGCACAAAGAGAGGCCGCGGTTAGCGGGGGTTAACGTTGCTAACGGGCGGTCACCTTGGCGCCCGCCGCACTCACCCGGCGGCTGCGCCATCTTGCTGCTCCCGGCCGCCGCCGCGCGCGGGAGGACGGGAAGGGGCGCGCGGCCGCTGAGGCTCACGGGAGGAAGGTCAGCGTGTTCTGGGTGGAGGGGGTAAGCGCGGCGCCATGTTGGGAGGGTCACTGCTGATGTCCCCTCGAAGGGGCCTGCACCTGTGGACTGYGGATCGTATAAAAGGGCTCATTAGCGATGTAATCTATTATGATAGCCATTCAAATATATTAAGGTATGTTATAGCATAAGAAACCAGGAGCTTCTAGGCTTTTCCTTGTGGGATGAGGTCACACCGCCATCTCCTGCAGTTCTTGGGTGGCTAGAGCTGGATGTTGGCTGTGGTTTTCATGGGGGTTAAGTGATACATCGTGTGGTCCCAGGTCAGTGCCCAGGAGGGGCTTTCCACCCAGAACATGCCCCATTCCACCAGAGCTCCTTGCACAGGACATGGGCRATGGGCAGAGAGGCTGGACCCCCACATGTGGAAGCGCAGCTGAGGACGCACGAGAACACGCGGGCAACACCTACTCCTATAACTTAATTCATGGATTTATTTCACACTGTGTATCTCTTTCCAGGGATCTTCATGCAGCGAGGCCACGGGCAGCGGCGGCCGCGAGGGCGGCCGGAGGAAGAGGAGCAGATTCCAGCAGATGTCACTCGCACGTAGCGGAGCGCGGCGCGCTCGGGATCAGCCCGACATCTAGAGGTTTCCCATCCCACGTTCGGGTTCATAGAAGGGGGCCAGGTTGAGGTGTCGGTTATCATGCTGACTCCAAACAGCAGGCGATGCAGCAGGGAGCTGCCATCCGCCCCTGCTCCGGATCCAGCCCAGCCCCAATCTGCCTCGATATTAAATCTCTGTCCTGCAGAGAACTGCTAGAATCGATCACAGCTCCTAAAGACTGAACTAAGGTCACTGAAGGGGGCCCACAGGGCTCCCACATAAACACTGAGCCACTTCCCTGCAGTTTCTCCTTCTCATAGATCACAGGATCCTGTTCCCCRTGCTTTCCTCCTGAATTGCAGGGTTTTGTGTTATCTGGTATTAATTGACTCAAGGGTTGGGACCTCTGTTGTCTCAAGAGACTACSCAGCTCTGTAATGCATCTTACCCAGAGGCTGATCTAGAGGTCTGCCTTGTGTCTTTAGCCTCTGCTTTCCCCGAAATCAATGTTTTTATATTGAACGGTGCTCCTCTCCCTTAACATAAAGGTAAAAGCAGAAGGAATAAATTACTACCTGTTATTTATTAGCAGAAACTAGGGTTAGGAGAATACAGTGTACCAGTTCACTTTATGAAATGGTTCTGAATCTATTCCCTCTGAAACAATATAAAAAAAAACCCTCCTTTTATTAAATTATTCCTTATTTTATTACTGCACTTTACCAGTAAAGGTCATTCTATTACAGAAGTATACTTCGATTAACTATTCGGTGGCCTTTTCCCATATTTGCATAAAAACATACTTCAGACTTGCACGAAAGCATTCTTCATAGGTTGCAAGGCAAACGTCTTTTCAAGAGGATTGTTCGTGAAAGGTAGGTTAATTTACCTATAGGAAAAAAGGCAATGGCAGCTCCCTCATTTTGAGGAGTTTGCTGCAGTGTGGAAGAGCACAGAGAGTTGCTCCAAGTGCTTATAGTTGGTCTGGGAAAGTTGTTAGGGAGTCCAGAAAAAGGATGAATCTTTAGTGGCATTTCAAAGAGCAGCGACTTAAATCTCTATGTGGTACAGAGTAAGAGAGGAGCAGCCCCGTTGTCCTTGTGCCACCTTAATCTTGAAGCCAGCGGGAAGGGTTAATTGGTGCAGATGTGTGGGAGGTTCTCTAGCACACACTTCCTCCCCTTGACCTCTGCTGCTGGCCAGAGTTCAAGGTCTTGCTGGTTGATCCAGATTAGAGGAGGAGTGATGGAGAAAGGTATTTCTGATGCATTTCTGTTTACTTACAAGAATGCACATAGCCCTCTTTTTCCTGAACACAGAAGAAATGAGGCAGTTGAGAGCCAGTTTACTTGCCCAGCTCCCAACCTCTTCCAGGCAGCAGTGTGACCCCAAATCCCTCTATTTCTTGTATCCAGTCCAGGCTTTTTATCAGTGATTGTTCAGGCTTTTAGAAGTTTCCGTTCATTCCCATATAAATACGCTCCCTTTCTCTCTCCTCCTCCACCTGAACTGCATTGTCCATCCACACAATCTTCTTTCAACTTAATACCCTATCGAGACCATCCCCTTAGAGCTTTCAGATACTTGAGCAATCTTGCGTTTTGGGTGGAAATACAGACTTAATGTCTCCTTCAGCTACCCTAAATAAAGGAAAACAGTTGTATCTACCAGTCTGAAGAAGGTTGAACCCAACATATAAAAATAAAAGCCTAATGGAGTGTTGCCCTGAGGTCTTCATCTTGCTGAGGACCCCTCTGGAAAATGCTATGAAGTTTATAAGTAATGGCATGGGAATAATAGGTAGTACGTCATTCAAATACCCGGAGTATTTTTCAAAAGACGTCAATAAGCATGAAAAAATGTTTCCTTATTCCAGTAAGCACCATAGCACGTGATTTTGTAGGTTTAAGTGTAAAGACTCAGATGCAACTGAAGAGTTAAATAATGCTTCTCATTAAAATTGCTTAAAAAGAGAGGCAGAGAATCAAATAAAACCTCTCTCAGACTATAACAACAGAAGCTGGGACCCTTTTTTTTGTTCTGTGTGCCACAGCTTGGACACTCAGGGTCTCACCTGGGCCTGGTGCTCAGCGACACTGCAGTGAAAAGCAGATTCAGGGGTGTGTAAAGAGGCACAGGGCAGCCTTCAAGAAGGTCGAGAGGAGGATTTATCTATCTGATCCTGCGCCCACTGAAACTGATGACAAAGCACCYAGTGCTTTTAATAAAGGATCAAACCTACACGAGTGGACAGATGAGATTCTGAAACATRTGGTTTGGCATAGGGTGCTTCTGGGCTCCTAAACACTTATTTCAATCTGATGTCTTCTCTCTCACAGGTTGAGAGGCTGCAACCGTTAAGCACTTCCAGAAGCTCAGTGTAGAGATGAATGTTTTATCCTCCAGTAATTTGGAGCAAAGGTAGGGCATCCCAGGRAGCTTGATCCTATCATTTTTGTGGCAATAGCTTGGGGTGGTGAGAGCAAAGTAGCTGCCCAGCATAGGTCTCAAATTGACCCACCTGAAAATATGTTTGCAGTGGAAACCAGAGGTGCTGAGCTGAATGTGATCCGAAAGGAGCGTGGAGTTGGGATCTCTTCCATGGTCAGACTTCCCTGGGATAACGGTGAGTTCCCTTACATAGATAATAATATGTAGGGATTGACCCAGCAGAATCAGTTGAGAGAATTAACCTATGACTGTAATTGGATTGCTTCCTCTGTGTTATTACAGAGCCATTTCCCTAAGTCCACCTCAGAAAACTTGACAAAGGAGATTGCTCACCAGCAATTAGTAGTTTAGCATCTATATGGTTCTTTTCTCTCTCACAGCACTTAAGTATTCATGCATCTTCATGCTCCTCTGATAAAATATGTAAATTAATGTTGTGACAGTCATTTCAAATGGGGAAATTTGACACTGATATTTAGGATTATGGAGGGGGAATTCTACCCCCCTTGCTGCTGGTCTCTGCTTGTATGGAATGCCAATTGCAAAAGTACCTTATTTTGTAGATCTTTGATCAGCTTTCTGGTTAGCTAAACATCTACCTGTGGGGAGCTAATTATATACTATCAGTATGTAGTAAAATGTAGTAAAATAATTTACATTAATTAAAGCATTTGGAAAAGCCAAGCAGAAATTTTCCCTAAAATAAATCTGCTTCTGCAACAGCTGTATGTGGAACTGCAGCTCCCCGTTGACAAACATGAAAATAAAAGCAGGAACCAGTAAAATACAGGTTTTTTATTTTTTCTGCTAGAAAGAGGAAGGGTCCAGAAGCACTGGGAGAACCATAGTGATATCAATCCAGAGGCACAGGGCTGAACATAATGTCCATGTGTGCAAGCAGATCTGTACCCAGGAGCATGGGGAAGGTGTGTGTAATGACTCCTGTCTTATCAACGTACCTGCTCAGCTCAGGGTGAGTGTTTCAGCAGGAGGGTTGTACAGCTGGGCCTCCTATTCCATGGAGAGGTTTTAGAGACCAATGGAACAGCACAGCAGAGACTTAAAAAATCACCTTGTTTATCACGAACTTGGAATCTGTCAGTTCCTGCAGCACAATCCTTGCACCTTTCTTCCTTTTCCTCCCTTGACACCTTTGCATGAGATGGAAGTGCTCAGCACTTGCTTGGCCTCGTGTGGGGTTCTCTCACTGCCCTTCCCAGGTGCAGCGGTCGGGCGATTCTCGCTCTGCCAGGCTGTATCTCATGGGAAGGAGCTGAGCGGTGAGTCTGKGGTGCTACCACTCCTACCACTTCTGCCACTCTGAGGAGGTGCCTGTTACTTTCTGGAGATTTCGGAACACGGACAATTTCCACTTCTACTCAGTGCATCTCCTTTGCGCTTCAGGAAGTGCTTTTATCCAGGAGCTGCTCTTTCTTCCTGAGGGCTGCAGCCACTTAAGCTGCAACAGCGGGAAGGCATCAGAATGAAATAAGTGTTTAGGAAACAAGAAGCATTAGCGTTTCATTTAGAGCTCATTCTTGCTCTTTCGCTGGTGGAGGATGAAAATACCTTCTTAGAAGACACTAAGAAATSAAGAGATTTATAGGGTTGCAATGGGAGAGCCAAAGCTCCCAGCAGCAGCAATTTGTCTCTCGTTGCATATACAGCCTAGGCCTTCCCGTTCAGCCCTTGCACACGTGGAGAGTCAGCCCATGCATCTTTCTGCAATCAATAGATGCAATCACCATTCCAGGACTCACAGTTGTGTTCGATTACTTGGTGAGTGACTTGGTAAGATACCTCCTCCTCCATCTGTTCTCCGTTTTCTTAGTGCTTCTCTTTGGTGCAGCGTGGATGTGCACGTGTTTCTTTGCCTCATTGCCTCCCCACATGTATCTCTGGGTTTTCCTTGTGGCACTTCTCTCATGAGTCAGGGATGCATCGCCTTCCCTCCACCCCTACAACTTGCACTAGATCGAATTCTAGCTTTTTGCAAGGTGGCAAAAGTGGCATTGCAGATCTGTTTAATCAGGTTTGCCCGGTGACCATGTTATCCTATACACTTGTCAAGAAAGGAGCTTGAAGCCGGGGTGAGGAACAGATTCCTCTGTAAAGATCAGCTAAGAGTCGTGTGGGATTTCAGCCCTGCGACTTTGACATTCAGGCAGGTCATAGGGGCCCCCCCGCTTCCCTCTCGTGCTCTGCAGCATGAACTGGCCAGGGCTGCGGGCCGCTGGGACGGAGGAGCTGCTCTGCAGCAGGAAATAGGAAAATGTATTTCATTTCAGGGTGACCTTTAACAGGTGTGGATTTACCAGTGGGGAGGAGAGAGGGAGGGAGGCGAGGGATTAAGGAGAATTTACCCTCCCTCCCCTTTAAGCACCAGCTTGCACAGCATTCCAGCAGCGCGCGGTGCAGGTTGTGGCCGTGTGGCTTTATCTCTTCTGGCCCTCTCGGCTCTGCTCAGGGCTGTGGCTGTCCCTGGTCTTTAGCAGCGCCGGGGACAGCAGATGACACTCCTCTTGGAGAGGCAAGTCACGCCGTGCTGCCAGGGAACGCAGATATAACCCTGGGGGGAAAGAGAAATCACACAGTTTTCTGCAAGAGTTGAAACTTAACCCATAATGAATAACTAGCCGGTTCAGGCCAACACAAGCCTGTAGTACATTCCCTAGGTGATTTTGCCTGGAGAGCTTCTCTTCTTGTCCTAGAGCTGCTGCGTGCTCTCAAGCAGCTGCTTTCCTCTAACCCGTTGTTTGCTGCGTTTCAGTGATGGATTAAGGCAACTCTGCTTTCCGTCTCCCTCTCCGAGGGGAGCTGTAAAGTTTAATTAATTACATTTTGTAAAACATGGTGAGATTCCTGGGTGATAAATGCTATTCAGATGTAGAGTACTTTTTAATGAGCACTGTGTGATGGTTGCAATGAAATGCTTTTTTAATCAAACCAATCTGAGCTGTAAAACATCCACACCCTGCTGGTATCAAACAGAAATGATGGCAAGCACTCAGTCTTTTGTGGGCTATTTGATTTGAGGGTCCCAAGGCATATTTAAAAAACTCTARCAAAATAAACAGGCAAGGACTATATGTATACAGCAGCACATTGTATGTCTTCCCCTTAATGTATGTAGTGGAGCATTATGTATTATCTCTATTAGATTTTATCACCATTAAGAGCAGCATTGGCATGTTAGCAATAAGGAAGGGAAGGGTCAGGTAGCAGTGAGGGCAGATGCCATGTGTGTGGGGCAGGTGAACATACACCCTATGTCTGGTTTGGCCTGGCTGTGTCAGGCTCCAGAGTTTCAGCATTGTAGGATTTGTGTTTTACACATTTCCCACAGCCCTGGGTTTGTGCAAACAGGGTGACTTTGCTTGTTCTTCGCTGCTACTCCCTCCTAAGGAAACTAGGCTAAAGTCAAGTCTGGGGATGTCTGTTTTCACTGCACACTGCAGTGTAAACCTACTCACAGAAGTAAAGGCATTTTCTGTAAGGAAAACTGCAGCCTGCAGTAATTGCAAGGAGGGCGTCCTTTCTAGTTTTGGAATTTGGGCAGGACTAAGCAAGCCATTTGTTGAGCTGGAAAGTGTCTTGGGATACTCAGTGGCCAGAACTTTAGCCCTATCCTTCCTCTRGAAGGCTGCTTCTGCTGTTACCAGCGTGTTAAAACATCTCATCACCAGAGGATGAATAGAGGGGGAAGAGACTACATGAGGAAACACTATTATCACCATCTGGAAGAGGCAGATTTCCACACAATAATGACACATCCCAATCCTCTCCAACCTTTGGGATACAAGGATGTTCTGAACAGAGGATGCTCTGATTTCTGGCCTTGATGTTGTGGGATTGAAATGATGGCTGCAATCAGAGACATAAGCTGCTGCACTTCATCTGCACTACTGCTTCCTTAATGCTGCTGCTTTGCAATATTCTCCTCCTGTAGACTTATCTCACCTGCTTTTGGTCAACTGGAGTTTTAGAAAAAGAGGAGCAGAATGGCCTTCATTCAGACGTTGGGTGGCTGTAGGAGGAAGGAAAAAAGAAGACACAAGAAAAGACTGTTGGACCTGTAACAAGAAAAAAGAGAGAGTGAATGAGAAATTGTAGGGAATGACCATCCAGTCATCCAGCCTTGCAAGCAATTGCAGTTTCCTCATTGTAAGGCAACACCACACTGATAGAAACACAGGGCTGTTCTTCAGAAGTTTTATTGCATCATACCAGCTACACGAGAAAACTTCACGCGCTGAGTAGGGCAGGAAATCGGAGGTGGGTGATTGCACAAGCTGCAGTTCAACAGAGTTCCTGGAGCTGCYGCGGGAGGCGAGTGCTGCAGTTTCAAAGTGTGCTTTAGTTGTAAGGCTTCCCCGGTGCTGGGAGAAGAAGCTCTGGGAAGAGCTGATTCCCTAGCTTTGCATTTGCTGGTCTAGATAATAAGAGAATCACAGCGCTACTTAAACCCACATGGGAGAAAATGCTTCCCTCTGCCGCGATGGATCCAGTTGTGCCTAAGATCAATAAAGCAACTGCACTTATGTGAATTATTGGAGTTTGCAGGACCTCTGACAACAGGGGGGTGCCTATGTTTTGCTGCTTGTGAACATATCTCATTACAGCCCTATGTATGTACAGCATTTTCTCAGAAACCAGCCTCAGGGACAATTATACATTAATAGCTACTTCTTTCAGAAGCAGCCAGCCCTGCTCCTGAGAAACAGCTATTTTCAGGCAGTCTTGTTCCTGAGGAACTGCTATTTTTAGTGAGTTCTATTTCTGAGGGGAAAAAAAAAAAAAAAAAAAAAGAAGCCATTTCTGTATCCCTCCACCATGGTCCAGACCCACTGACTGTGGCTGACTTGCGTTTTGCAAGAAACATTTCCTCTGTGCATCTCAGTAGCCCAAAGAAAGTGGTTCTCCAGCCCTTGCAGAAAGCAGCAATCTGAGCTGGGGCTAATTGTGCAGGGAGGGCTGTGGGAGGCAAAGCTGCGCTCACATACTATAGATTCCATTAGGAGGAGTACGGGGATGTAATGGAGCTCTCCTGGGACATGCAGGACTTTTAGATACCTAATTTGGAAGTCCGTTCTGCTATCCATTTTCAACGTCCCAAGAGTAATGATTAATCCTGTACTCCAGGTTTCTCTGAATCAGTTTGTAGCTGTAGTAAATACGGGCTGAACATGATAACGTCATTGATGCTAGGGGTAAATGACTTGAGGCAAGAGACACTCTGGTTTTGTGGCCATTAACTCCCCGTGCACACTCATCTGGCAGCAATTTTGACTTAAGAATCTGCAGCTGAGATAAAAGAGGCTTTGTCAGAGCTCAGGAATGTGGTGTTTTGCAATAGAAGTGTCCAAGATGCTGAAGGCCCCRTAAAGGCACCCCAGCAATGCTGTGTTCTCAATCCTGCAACATGCAGACATCATGCAAGACCCGCAGATCTTCCTCATGTTATTGTAGCCATAGCCTCTCAAAGGGAGATGCAACCACACGAAAATTCCAGCCAACCCTTTTTGTTATCAGCAGATTTACTGCAAAGACTGGTGTCCCGGCGCCAGGGTGAAGTGATTCTCACCACACTGAGGCTGTGCGAAATTTTAGCAAAACCCRTGCAAAGTTCATCTCAGGTGTCTTATGCTTTTATTTTACCCAACAGCTCCTTCTGCCTCTGATAAAAGTGCGACTAAAGGTAACAAGTTTGGATGACAGCAGCGTCAGCAAAGAAAATACACTGGAACCACGTCCTGSTGGATCTGTATTAGATCTTCCCCTGACAGGGTGTTGCTGCCTGGATTGAACAGGGACGTCAGCAGCTTTAATCTTTGAACAGGGTCACAGCAGTCATGAACAAAAGCTGCTCATCCTGTTGCAGCAGGGACTGGTCCCTGAAGATTGTGGTGTGTGTGTGTGGTCTGAAGGTCACTCTTCCTGGGAGAGAAGCTCCTCTTTCCTGTGTGAGGGAGGTGGTTCAACATCACAAGCAGTTTCCCTTTGCTTATGTGTAGACAATACCAATGGTCTTGTTCTCTACGTGAAGATTATTTATCTTGTTTTTAAGCCCATGCAAGAGAGGAAGCTGGTTGTGTTTGTCCTGCAGAAACAGACACCTTCTCTCCACACTTTTTTTTTTTCGCTTTTAAGTATTCCTCAGGTTCTCCCATCTCCAGGAAAAGTCATTATCTCCGGACAGTTTTGTAAAACCCATTTGCTTTTGTATTCTGCTCATAAGCAGAGCATTGTTCAAAGTGCGAGTGAATCGCGGCTGCTTTTATCACAACGAGAGCCTATTATTGGCATTTTTCCCTTTTTACTGCTTCGCTAGAGAAAGGCAGGGGAAAAATGGGACAGAAATCTAGGAAACGAAGGGTAATTTACAGTTCACAAAGGAGCAGTAAAAATTAATTAGCTGTCTGAGGATCCATTCCGACCTGGGCCGCTGAGCTCATGCCAGCTTCTTGCCTTGCATAAACTGTCTGTACTGTCCTGGGCTGCTGAGATGAGGCTTGTGCTGTGAAATTAAGGCTCTTTGCTGAGGTAGGAGTCTGCTGGGGCTTGCAAAATGTGTATGCACACCTAATTTGGTGTGTCAAAGAGACATGATGGTGCATATAACTCAAGTCATTACGTGCTCAACTGGCTGCTTATGACGTTCACTATTAGTTGTCACAGTAACTGCTCGTGTACATTATGGATGCGGTTACCCACATAATTAACATGGAGCTTCTTTGAGAATCCAGGCCTCATTCCTTCTCCTTTTCCGTGGTGGTGTCTTCACGAATGAAATGCTCTTCACRCCCCAAATCCTCGTGATCCTGCTCTAAGAGGGGATGGAGCTTCACGGAGACTGGGGGTAGGACAAGGCACTGCCCCGGGTGGGCACCGAGCCAGTCTGGTCCTGCTGGGGGATGTAGGAGCCTGGGAACCGAGCGACTGGAGCATCTTGCCAAATCCTGTTGCCAGCCCTCCAGCCAAGCCTGAGATCCCCACCTGGAGAAAGAACTTCGCCAATCAGAAATGTCCTAATTTGGATCCTTTTTTGGTGYGTAATTTTCAAAACTGTAATTTCCATTTGAGAACTATTTGTCCTGATCCTGAGTATCAGCTGAACTCCTTTTTTTTTTTTCCCCCTGTAGTTTAATTTAGGCAACAGATGCCATCAGAATGTTAATGCCTTCTTAATTCTCACCTACATGCTTTTATTCTTATTAATTTAATATCTGGGGCTTTAATATTCTTTTTTTTTYCCCTACTTTGATCAGCTGAAATAATTTGATGGCAGCATTTCAACAGGGCTTGCAGTGGGATAGTGTGTAATGGTGCATCGCCAATGTATGTTGCTGTGTATCCTGCAGCGTGCTCAGCTGCTGTGCCGTGAGAGCATGAATCATGTGATGTTTTTAGGTGATTATAGATGAAGCCTTACTTATCCCTGCTGTGAATAACCAGAGMGGGTACAAGCTGGTGAGGCCTGTTTCCCTGGCTGTGGGTTTTGCCCAGTGCAATAGAAGGGTTGGCTACGCTGCGATCCAGGAGTGTGATCCTCCCTGTGGAAATGCCGCTGAGCTTGCAGTCAGTTAACTTGCTTGGACCACGGCCCAGCCACAGCGGATGCCCTCAGTCAGCACCCTTAAACCATTGGTATGGGCAGGGGATGGAGGGGCACCCACTGGCACCTCCTGAGCGCAGCAGGTGCCTCCTGAATGCCACCCATGGGCAGCAGGTCTTGTCCCAGCAGAGATACAGGACTGGCAGATGCCACAACTTGGGACTRTAGGGAGCAGAGGATGGGAAGGGGTTCATAGCTGCACCCCAAATGATCCCAGATGTGACTGTGCAAGAAGATCTGTGGGTTTTGGTGCAGGGAGGCATCAGGCTTGGCTTCAGAGCTTGTGCAGCAAGTGTTGCATCGCAAAGGATGTTTCAAGCAGGCCAGAAGAAGAGAAATAAAGGAGTGTGAGCAGAAAATGATCAGTTTTACTAACATAGCCAAAACATTTATGCTTTATAGGAGGAGGGGGGAAAAACAGAGGCCAAGTCCCAGATAGTTTCTCAGTCAGTGCAGTTCATTCTCCCCTTACAGTGAGGAGGAGTCTCACCAGACTTTGCTGGTTGCTTTGGAACTATTTTAACAAGCAAAGARGCCTGTTGGCCAGGAAAGGTTGTGTTCTTGTAATAACTTGTTATTTAGGGGAACGAATATGTGTCTGGGGTTGTCCCCCAGACTTTCTGGAAAAAAAAGGCACAGGATCAGGTTCCATTTTACCCCTCCAATTCTATTTGAGCGCCCCAGAAGGTCAGAGCAAGTCATTTTATTGAATCCTACCTGTAGGATGAGGGGTACAGAAGGTTGAAGATTCACCTGGCTGGCTTTAAATAGGATTGTGAAGAATTGTGCTTCAAGATTGTGCTTGAAAGTAAAGTTYAAGTGAACAGCAGCCTGAAATGCAGTGCCTGCGTTTGCACTCCCAAGGTAGTGCCTGAGTAAAGTCTCAAGAGAGATGCATGGGGTTTTGTGAAGTACCTGAGCTCAAAGCAGAGCTGTGCTTAGTGCCTCAGTGACCTCAGATCAGAGCTTGCTCATGTCCAGGCAGTCTGAAGGGCAACTCAGGTGGGAACAAACCCATGAAAGAGAATCTGTGCCTCCAGACTAAGGACTGCATAAGGCAGAGGGCTGGATAACAGCTGCATCCAGCAGTTCGGTAGAGAAAATCTGAGTAGGGGGAAAATTGTGCCTTTCATTTGTGAAGATGTCCATCTGCTGATGAGATCAGGAGTGGGACACCATCCCTTGGAAAGCTGGGATTAAGATACACAAACAGTGCATGCAAATTAGGCATTAGATTATGCACACGAGAAGCACGACAATCTTTTGGTATTTTGGTCSTCTTCCAAGTTTGGATTTGGAGCCTTTTATTTCTGGTGCCTGAAGGCAGCAGCTGATGTGCTGAGCCTCAGAAGATGCCTCTGCCCCTGATGTCCAGATTCCAGCAGATCCCGGCACCACGGCAAGCTCACACTCGGCACGAGCTTCTCCTCTCCTCCTTGCCTCCCATCACAAGTAAGTGGATCCTGCTGCATATGGGTCCCAGCTTGGACAGATCTGCCAGGGGGKTTGAAGACTGGGTCCTTCCATGGCCTTTGCCCTGTCCATCACCCATGGAACTCCATCCCAGTAAGAGACAGTCRC